AGAGAGAGAGAGAGAGAGAGAGAGAGAGAGAGAGAGAGAGAGAGAGAGAGAACGGATCCCCTTAACACGGCTCAGACGGCCCATGCAGGCTATCTTAAGATTTCGCAGCCATGTAGCACAGACCTCCCCACCAAAATCGAGGCAGGCAGTGAATATGACGTAGAGCATGAGCTGGCAGAATATATACTCAAGATTCGAATTCAGGTCTGTGTTTCAGCAGTTATGGGTTGCTCACGTAGCTAGGCCCTGTTGGTCTCTGCACATGACTCTTACGGCTTGGCTGCACTACTCACGAATGTGCAAAATTAGAATGAATCTTCTGCAGAACGTGGAATAATACGCCACCATATGTTTTGTCTTTCGTGCATTTGGTGAGTAGAGGCCCTTAGGGCCACTGCACGTATTCCTAAGAAAAGAAAAGAAAAATGAGAAAACAGAGAAATAGTGACCCATAACCGAGATGCACAGACCTGAATTCGAATCCAGACTATATATTCTCTGCCCACCCTCAAGGAGTACAAGTTTGAAGTGCATCTCTGCATGACGTCGGGTCCTAACTAATATGCTGTAGGGATCCTTCCGAAGCATCATTTGTGCGTGCGTGCATCCGCGTGCGGCACCCCCGTGCATTAGACGCGCCGCAAGTATGATTTGAACACACGTCTCTCTCTCTCTCTCTCTCTCTCTCTCTCTCTCTCTCTCTCTCTCTCTCTCTCTCTCTCTCTCTCTCACACACACACACAAAGGGGGTCTGAAATCCCCCGACAGGTGAGTGCGCTGGGGGGGCCCGCCCCCCAACCGGCAGCCCTGCCCGGCCAGGCCGCCCGGGACCTCCCTCGGGCCCCTGCAGGTCACCCGGGCGGCCCAGATCCCCACTCAGAAAAAAAAATGAATTCGCCCTATTTTCGTTTTCTGCCCCAAAGGGCGTTTCTGCTGTAAACGGGCGCAGCGCCCAAGGCTATAAACCAATCAACGTATGCAACAGGCCTCGGACCGTCACCCTCGGGCTGTGAGAACAGCTCACGAAGAAACAGCAAAGAGGCACTGGAAGAGGCATTTGTGGGATAAGTTTAAATCAGCAGGTTGCAGCACTCATGAGTCAGTTGGCAACTCAGGATTTGTGCCTGGGTTCAAAACCATCCCCAACCATCAGGGAGTTGGTACCTCATGATATGTACCTGGGTTCAAAGTTCAAACCCCAGCTCCAACAATAAAGTTGAAACTGACAGCAAGTAAGATTAACTCAATTGACAGGAATATGATAAGGATATTCTTTCTTTCGTTTTTCCTGTTTATCTACCTACCCACACTTGTCTAGAAGTCCGACCATAATCCCTACCTTAATCCAGCAACGGGAAGCAAACTATTCCACTGGTTCAGGACGAGATTGGAGCCAGGATCTTTGGCTAGGATCTAAGACTACCTTAAATTAACTAACCAGAACTAAACTATCCCAAGGTTATGGGTCTACGTATACGTATCTCTGCTCTGTGCAGGGAGCAGTGCCCAAGCTCCTAACACCTGGTGTGGGCTGGTACTGACAACCAACCAGGAGGCCCAAGCCAACAATATCCGCTGGTAAGCCCGAATCATCTCCCAGGAGGGTGTAGGGATCAAAAGGACGGCATTGGGTATCAAATCCACAACCTCCTGGGTGCCACTTACGTGCTCAACCAACTGAGCTTGCCCGCTATTTGAAAAGGCTCGCCAAATACCTAAACGAAAAAGAACCATTCAAAACATCAAGTATCCCTATACTACTGAAGCGAAAAGTGGTCCTCGCATGACGCTTTCCGCGGGCCCACAAAAATTCGTGGAGGGAGTTGGACCAGCCGCACAGCATTACCCAAGCTCCTAACACCTGGTGTGGGCTGGTACAGACAACCAGCCAGGAAGCCCAAGCCAACAATATCCGCTGGTAAACCCGAAGCATCTCCCAGGAGGGCGTAGGGATTGAAAGGACGGCGTTGGGGATCCGACCCACAACCTTCCGAGTGCCACATACGTGCTCAACCAACTGAGCTTGCCCGCTATTTGAAAAAGCTCACCAAATACCTAAATGAAAAAGAATCATTCAAAATGTCCAGTATCCCTATACTACTGAAACAAAAAGTGGTCCTCGCATGACGCTTTCCGTGGGCCCACGAAAATTCGTGGAGGGAGTTGGACCAACCGCGCAGCATTTAGGGAGGACTGCGATCACAAAGCATAGAATGTTCGAATTTCAAGTACATAAGGAGCGGTCGAGGGGTGTGGGCGTGCGTCGGGTGGCCACACCTCTTTCCGCCTGGGTCGCGTCCACGTTCGACTACGAGTACATAGCAAGGCCGGGGCCTTGCTGTACTGCTCGCCAATCTGCCAGCTTCACTACTCACCAAATGCAGGCCTTGCTCTACCAGTCGCCGATCTGCCAGCTCCAGTACTCGCCACATGCAAGAAAGACAAAATATGGCCGTGCGTTCTCAAGACAAAAAATACGGTCGTGTATTTTCCCATGTTCCAGCCAAAGATCCATTCTCATTTTGCACATTTGGTCAGTGGTGGAGAAAAGCCAAGTGAACTGGCAGAGGAGCGGTAAGGGGAGTGGGAAGACGATGAACAGGAGGAGAACAAGTGGCAGGAGGAGGGGGATGATGATGCACAGGAGGGGGTGGACAGCGAATGGTAGGAGCGGCAGGAGGAGTGCGATGAGGAAGGGGAAGACAGCGGGTGGGAGGAGGAGGGATGGGATGAGGTGGGGCAAGACGAGTAGGAAGAGGAACTGGAGGAGGAGGGGCAGAGCAGCTGGAGGGACGAGAGGAGGAGGGGCGGAACGACGAGTGGGAGGAAGGCGGTGAACCAGAGAAGGCAGAGGGGAAGGACAATGAACGGCAGGACCAGGTCGACGAATGGGAGGAAGAGATAGGGTGGCCTCAGGAGGAAGAGACAGAAGAAATGGAGCGTAGAGGCGGCGGATGATAGCTGGGAGGACGAGGAGAAGGAGGAGGATGACCAGCGGGACGAGGATGGCAACAAACGAAAGGAGCGGTGGGAGGAGTGGAACAAGGACCGCAACCAAAATCGCTAGGAGGAGTGGGAGGAGGTAGGACAATGAGCGGGAGGCGGAAGAGCAGGAAGAGGAGGAGGAGGACGAGGAGCGGGATGACCAGGCTCCTGCCCCATCTACACCTTCCATCCCGTCCCTCCTCCTCCCACTCCATAACGTACGAGACGAGGAGGAGAGGGGAAAGAGGGCAAGCAGGAGGAGCAGCAGGAAGTGATGGTGCAGTAGAAGCCAGAGGAGCGGAACGAGGAGAGGGTAATGGAGGAGAAGGAAGTCGACAGGGAGAAGGAGGTGAGCAGGGAGGAGGATGTGAGGGCAGAGCAGGGAGTGGCAGAAGGAGGGTGGGTGGAGCAGTGGCATGATGAGGAGGAGGTGGCGGACGAGGAGTGGGAGGACAAACCGTTCTGTATCCGGCGTTTTTTCAGTTTCTTTTAGAGAGAGAGAGAGAGAGAGAGAGAGAGAGAGAGAGAGAGAGAGAGAGAGAGAGAGAGAGAGAGGTGGGGGACAGGAAGAGCTGTGCTGCGGGTGTAACTGCGGTGGGCCGACTTGTTTCACTAAATCCATAATCCAATAATTGTATTTATCCCCATTACCCCCGAGAGTCAGAATCATAGTGCGAGTAAGCTTCATACCTCACAGTGCTTTTACTTCTTGCCTATTCAAGTGATGGTCTTTCACTTTGTACAATAACGTTTTTCCAGATGGGCCTTATGTGTGTGTGTGTGTGCATGTGTGCATGCATGCATCTGTGTCTGTCCCAAGTCTCAAACCGCCCACATCTGTGCCTGGGACCCGGACCGAACGGGGCACATGCACGGTTTCTTGGAATATGAACTAATAATGGCACAGTGGGAGACAGGACACACAGTGCATGATTTCTCCGGATGCAAAATACGCCAGAGTGATTTCTTGGAAAACGACATTGGAGGCGGCACGAAAGAAAAGTGTGTGATTTCGCAGGAAACCAAACGGGTTGTCAGGGCCCCACAAAAGAAAGGCGCAATTTCTTGGAGAACCACATACGGACTGCCACAAAAGAGCACAAATCACATGCCGCAGTGTCAAAAGAAAACAAAACGCAAAATGCGTCTTCTTCTCATATCGAGCTGACACCACGATGGACAATACAAAATCGTTTGAGATTCAGCCCCACTTATCAGACACCTCCCGTGCACCTCACATTTTCAGAAGCACTAAAACCGAAATGGCCGCACTACCTGTAGGTGTCAGCAAATGAAGGATCATAAAGGAGAGCAAAGGAGGCACCACGCATTGGTCTGTGCCACAAAGATGTGTTCAAAGACCGCTGCGAGTTGAGGCCAAAAACTTCTGTTTTCGGAAAACCACCAATCACAAAATCGGACAGCCCTTGACCAGTCGGGCTCGGCGCCTGTATAGGTGCCTGCGGCCAATAAGCTTTAAGAGAGTTGTAAAGATAAGATGGAAAACATTGCCGTCCATGGCATATGCCACATACAAGATGGGCACGTGGTCTAGACATAGTACAAGCTACATGCTATAGACTGCACTGTACATTCACATAGCACATAGCTCACGATGTGTATGCAAAGTGGGCACACCCTACACATTTCCCCGACGTACCACATTATTTTCTGTAGTACGACCACATACCCACACATAGCACTGACTATGCATATAGCACATCACACACACAGCAGACTGTACAGCCAACAGCGGCAATGTCCGCCCAGTTTGAATAATGAGCATGGCAAAATCTGATAGGACAGACACAACGTCTGGGACAAGAGAAGGCTTACATCCTCTCCACCTATCTTCGACAAGCAGACGTGCCACTGCAGTTGGAAATTGCTTGTATTTCAAAACGGAAGAAAGAGCTTAGCCAAATATGCCCTTGGCAATACACCCCCTTCAACAAACAAAAAGTGAGCTTCCCGTGACTATGTTCCATCCGGAGAAAGAGACACTGAAGAAAAAAGGGATGCAAGCTACGAGGGCGTTGGGCCTGTTCCTTCTCTGGCCAAGAAACAGAGCCATGTAACTAATATGAATCTCCATGCACATCATCCTTTCCCACACTTCATTCCTCGACCCACCTTGTGTATGTATTACTTTTTTGTGGTTGGCAAGGATTCTTCAAACCTGATGCCCCCTCACAAGTTTACCAGCTCTTTCCTCAATTCGAGCAACGCAACTCATCTGGGGCATCAATCTCAGAGGTTGGGATATTCAATGGGGGATCAAGTGTATCTACGTCAGCACACCAAGAAATTTCACACAACATGGCAAATTTGCAGGTCAATGATGAATTCCCCTAAGGTTGGTGCCTTGCAGGGCCCCATGGCAGTGCCCAAACAGAAGCCACATACAGCACTACTGCTCCCCACACCAAATCCACGACGGCATGACAGAGAAGTTAGCTTCTAGTGACCCAAAGACTTCAGAAATGACACTCACATTCTGCTTCTGCATCTTGGAGACTCCCCAAAATCGGGACAGCATCCAGAGCCTGTCTTAACCACACCTCCACCGTGCCTTGAAGTTGCTCTGAGTCCAGGTGCTGACAGTTTTGCCTTCTATCCAGCATATCTTCGCATCCTCTGACAGACGCCCCTCTCAGCACTGGCATTACTTGACGAAGAACTCTAACCACCACACCATCGTGATCATTGCCACTGACCCCAGATGACTCGGTCTGCATCCCTCGTAAGTATTGGTAAAAAAGAGTCCATGTTTCCTCAACTGCCCACACACCTTTCCTCACCAAGCATCCAGCCACACAGACCAAGCCTCTCAGGAAAGGTTCTCGAATATCAAGATACTCGTCCTCCCACGTCTCGCACATCCATCCGGAGAAAACGTCACGAAGACAGTCACCATCCCCGTGACTCTTAGTCGCTCCATGAAACAATGCATCCACAACGCTTTTGACGGTCGCCGCATCCTCTCCACTGGAGCCACAGCTCCTAGATTGGAGGAATGGCAGAACGTCAGAAACGGCGCTTCCTCCTGGCCATTCCCAAGCACACAACAATTCCACCACAAGCCATGCCCTGTTCCTAATGCCTGATTTTGCACTTGCATGCTCACATTTCCCTACAGGTTCCAAGATGCCAGAGGGAGAAGCAGACTTGTCCGGATTTCCTCGTTCCTGTTCTGCTGGACGGTTGTCTTCCACTTCCCTCTCGCACAGGATGCTCATATCGGGACTCACTTTTCCCTCGTTGCCTGTGACATCTGCGAGACCAGCATGCCCATCTCCTTCGACCTTCACTGTCCCAAACACCTCTGACGGACCTATACGAGTGGCCAACGCTGCAATAAATGCCGCGATCCTCCAATAAGCTCTATCAACCTGTCAAATGGCAGAGAGAGTGCACAGAACACATAAATCCAGACAGTGTGAAGAAAAGCTTCATCTGCTCACTTGAGATCTGAAATACTGCATGGGAATGTCTGCTTACCACAGCAATTGCCGAAACCCTTTTCCTTTCCCTCTCTCCCTCTCTCCACCTTCATCTTTCCAAAAAACAAAAAGAAAATAAAACGTTAGGGAACTTAGGGCCTTATGGTTCTGACTGTGTTCTATTCTGGGAAGCAGCAGTCCTGTTCCTTTCAGAAAGATCTGGAAAGATCGTTCACCTCGTCGCTGAACGTGAGACGGACATTAAAAACGCCACTTCAAAGTTCCTTTAGTTTCTCGACATATCACATTGTACAACCTTTTCATATTTAACGGTATATGACAAGTGTTTCAAAGGGCCTGGGGCATGCACAAGGCCGCCCCGTCACCAAACTGGCCCAATGGGTCGCTATGGACTGGCCAGCTACACAACAGTCAGTGACGAGCGCTCAGGTAACGCTGTCCACCACTATTTACATAGTCATTGTACCTTTCCGCCTTCTACGACTTCCTGTTTGCAACTCTTTTTGATCCAACTCAATCGAATGACATTGAACTGGCGCCGCTGCCACTTTGTGGCCTTCGACAAGCTAAGTTTGATTCTCAGGGAAGTACTCATGCTTGATTCTTTGTCAACCCAAGGTAGGGTGTCTACAAAAGACCCATGCACGAAGTTGTTGAAATATCCGGAAACCCATACGGTGAAAGATTGCAGAGCATTCCGAAAACTTGAAGTAGTTTCCCCAACCTGATATCAACAGAACCAAAGCACTGATGAGTCGGTGTACAGCAGAACCTTTGTGAGTTTGTATTACAAAACGAGTTTGTGAAAAAAGTGTTTCCTGTGATTTCTTGGATGGCGCAACTCTGCTGAGGAGCCCGCGGGATTCAGACGCGAAGCGTCTGCTCTTCGAGAGTTGGAAGTTCTAAATTCACAAGTCAATCAGCAGGCTCGCCATAGTTTGATCGAAGAGGAGCCTCAGAGACTACAAGCGAAGCAACTTTTGCCGTCTCTGAGTGCTGCGCAAATGGCATGGCATTCCAGTGATGCACTAGCTCGTGGGTAGTGCATCACTGCGCATCGTTGGGTGTTCTACTGTTAATCCTTCACATGCTATGGTCAACCGTAAACGTGAAACATCAGAGAGCGAGAATCAGGCAGCAGTTAGTAAGCCACGCCATTGTGTGCAAGTGATTGCTGCCTGTTTGTTTTCTTCTTGGGTCTTGGGGGAGTCCGAGAACTTTTTTCGTCACTGCTTGTGAACCATTCCCTATTCTAAGGAGAGTGAGTCAATGACCAACAGCGACTTATCATCACTGCTTGTGTGAGTATTTGCTTTGCTTGGGTGAGTGGTTGATCGTTTGGGCAAAGCCCGCAAGTGAAAAGGAGTCGATTCCACAAGCTCGTTAGCTTTTACAGTCCTTGCCCGCTAGCAATCCCTGCCGCTCTGAGAACTCCAAAGAGCCCGAGTTCTGCAGAAAACTGACTATCAGTTATGTCTCACCACGCTTCATCCAAGTGTGTGATACCCCCTCTGTTTAATTTTCCGGAGAGGGCTTAGGGGTGGGAGGAGGGAGGAGGAGGAGGGAGGAGGAGGAGGGAGGAGGGAGCATGTAAAATATCTTCACCAAAAGCCCTCCTATTCCAGCTTCCTATCGCAAATCTTTACGACTGCGCCATGAGGCCAAGCACCCCCCCTGCCCAGAGCCAATCCACAGCATGCACAACAACTCCCCAGACCAAACACTTTGGGAATTCGATAAGAACCATCTGCCCAACTAAACCTCCCTGGCATGCCACGATGAATGACACCTGGATGCTGGCTACGATTTACTGAGGTTATAAGTCATTCTCGAGTTAATCACCTACCGTCTTCACCCGAATAGAACACCCGGTCATTATCGCTGCATCGGGACCGAAAGTTGTGCCAAATACAGCTATAATGACCAGGCGTTCTATTTGGGTGAAGACGGTACGAAAGTGACATTATATCTGATGAACATCTCCTTTGATGATTGTTACACCAGAGAGGGGCCTTGAGAGCATGGTTGTCACAAGGAACATCTCCTGGATGTTACACTTTCCCTCACAGATAGATCCTTTGACGATTTTTGTTTGTTAAAGATATCAGGGCCCCTACTGATGTCCACAACTGTCTTCCCCCGAATAGAATGTATGGCCCTTATAGCATTAATAACTGTATGTTCTATTCGGGGGAAGACAGTAGCCGTTAGATGCAACCTCTGCGCGGGTCCTCGCACTTCAATTTAAACCACTGCATCACGACAGAAGAGTCGCATAAGAATCTCAAGCAACAGCCTTATCTGACACCATTGGGTAGGTCAATAAAGCATGACACAAGAGCAAGCACAGCTTTCAGAGCATGACAAGTACATGTTGGAACTTGGAAAGAAAAAGGATCAGGCTATGATTTGCGATTGCGCCTGTGGTTTGCTGAGCAAATTTGACCCTGTTCCCTCTGTACCCACCTCGTCATGGGAGCCTTCTGTGCTTGGCCGGCATGGAATCAAAGGCTTCTCTACCATTTCACTGTCCTCAGGCTTCACGACCCACTTTGGCCACTGTCCACATGGTTTTACAAACATATCAATGCTCTCTGCCCTTTCGTTATCTCCGCAGCACAGAGATTCGATCACTTCATGACCGCGACTTGCCCACCAGCTCCCTTCCACACCCTCCTCTGATTGCAGAATACCTACTCGGGCCAGTTCGATGACCAGTGGACATATTCTGTGGCGCAAGTTAGAACAAGAAGGCATCTTCACCTCCTCAACAAAGCTTGAAATGAAGTCATCAGCAGTCGCGGCAAAGGAAGCCAGGGCCACCTCCAACTCTTTATCATGTGCAATACGACCAATTTTCTTCTTTCGCTCCTTCCCTTTTCTCCTGGGCAATCTTGTCACTTCAGTTCCAACAGCTGCACCACCATCCAGCGCAGATTCATCGTCTTCCTTACCATCCTCATTCTCCTCTCCTTCCTCCTCCTCCTCCTGCTGTTCAAGCTCCTCCTCCAACTCCTCTTCCTCATCAGCGTCTCCATCATTCCAATCATCGGTATCCTCTCCCTCGCCATGGTTTGGCCCAGCCCTGATATCCTCTATCTGATGCGTTTTAAGTGGAATGCTATCTCGCAGCCATTTAACAACAAAGGCAGCAGCAACAACGTTTTCTCTGACAATGCTCACGTTGTCAGCATGCGCATTGGTCAACGAGCTCATCACCCACCCGCTGAGCGCTTTCATGGCTTCTCGCCCAAGCTCGACTTTATGTGCTTCTGACAGTTTCTCTGTGCTATGTAGGCCATCACTCTTGATGACTGAAAGCTCTACATCTGACCCAAGGAGGAGTCTTACAGCTTGCGGAGCCCATGCAGTGGGCCATGATACCACTGCATCTACCACTCGGCTGAGAAGAAGCCTCAGGACCGGCAATATGGCTTCACTGGACAGTGCAATCCACCTGCCAATTCCCTTGGAGCTCGCCTCACTAGTGAGCAACACCCTGCACATTAATTCAGCAGCATTCATGAAGTAAAGTGTTATCACAGCGCCATCAATAAACATGGGAAAAAGTTTCAACTTTTAACAGAGAAAACACAGGCAGGGTTGACTCAAACCACGTGTTGCTCCCCGTGAACACAGGCAGGGTTGACTCAGAGAAGCACAGACAGGGCTAACCTAGAAACCCGGCCAAGATGACCAATGACCGAAAGAACGCAGGCAGGATTGACCCAAAAACGATAATTCACAGACAGGGATAAAATAGAAAAACAGCGCAAGTCAGCTACCACTGTCCTAAGGCAGTCACCAATAGCACAATAGCACAATAAGATGCTATCTGATTACTTGAGCAGAAAGCATAAAATGTTATCATATATACCCTTTCCTTTTCATTGACCCTTAGCTCATGGTGGGAGCCCACAAAGGCCGAAAATGTGTCCACGATGAAAATATCACCCGCCCACACACAATGCACCGTCAATGTGACTGTATAGGGCAACGTTAATAGCCTGTATACATTTACTACTTTGTTCAAGTTTGTTGCCTTGTAACTGTTGGAAGAGCTGCGGCAGCGCAGGTTTCTTCGGGCCTTGTTTCTAAAAAGACTGCAGCCAGCACAAAATTCTTCAGCACACTATCTCTCATAGCATTCTCATACTAAAGACATTTGATACTAAGCTTCGGGCGTGATTGCGGTCAGATTCGTCTGGGTATGGCCATATTTGCAGTCATATTCATTTGGAAAGTACTGGTTTGAGTATGCCTGGAGCCTGTCCTGTTGTTGGCGGTCAAGAAACTTGGGCGGGTGGTGGTGAACATTCTAAGTGAGGAACTTCAAATACCAGCTCCTATACATACGTTCATGATCATCTACGACATGCTTAGCCAAAGCCGGGTAATGGCCCCGGTACATCAATTTGTTCTATATCTGTTCTCACATGGGACGCTGGGCCCGGTTCCCAGCACGTGTTGCTCCCCACAAACAGATTGGAGATTTCTGTTTGCCGAAAAAAAAAGAAAAACCTCCTATCGCAGGACGGGCACAAGCAACACAGGCAAATTGGGCAACACATGCGGAGATAGACACACACACACACAGAGAGAGAGAGAGAGAGAGAGAGAGAGAGAGAGAGAGAGAGAGAGAGAGAGAGAATCACACAAAGAGGGATAGAGAGAGAGGGAGAGGGAGAGAGAGAGAGAGAGGGAGGGAGGGAGGGCTCGTTTCCAGACCAAACAGGCTGCAGCAGCGGAGCAAGGCTCTACAGCGGCGGAGAGAGCAGCAACGGAGTGAGCAGCAGCGGGCTGTAGGAGCGGGCAAGCTTCGAACCGGTATGTTAGAGGTAGGCCGGTACCAGTCCAAGTAGCCTGAGTCTAGGGCCTGTCCGGACGATAGCAGAGCCTGCAATGATGTTTCCCTTTGAAAGGGAGGAGGTACCGGTTGCTGGGAGGCCGCTCGGCCTAGGAAGTCACCGCCCAAGAGGCCAGTAGGCCGCTATATTAGTATATCTTATGAAGGAGCAAGCAGCTCCTCCTCATTTGCGGTATGAAAGGATTGGCGATTGCTGCTGGAGCCAAGCACTGGACATGGGAAGAGCTGCCTGGAGGAGAAGAGCAGCTGGGCGCTCAGCCTGGATATGGCGAGCAGCCCAGCCTGAGGAGGAGGAAGAAAGGGGTGAGGGAGGAGAGTGGCGAGGTACCTAACTGGCTGTGGTGGACACCATCTTCATCACCTCGTTGGGCGCTGCATCTGGAAGGCCCCAGTTGGGGTAATGCCACACCAAGGAAGCTCGAGGCAGAGTCAGGCATGGCGGCTTAGTGAGCAGCGGCATAGCTGCTATGGGTTGTCCTTTTGACAGGAGGGCAGAGCCCTCAGTAGTTCGCCATAGCCTAGGCATGTGAGAGGAGGAAGAAGGGGGGAAGCCATAGCTATGGTGGACCTGTTGTTGTGTCAGCAGTAAGAGGGAACTTCGGATATTGATTATGGTTCATCCACTCATTGTTATTATTATTATTGGAAGAAGAATAAGATTGGTGAAGTGAGGGAGGAGGAAGGTGGAGAGAGAAGGGGGGATTTGTCATTGGTCTTGCTGGTGTACTTCTTCTTCTTCTTCTTCTTCTTCTTCTTCTTCTTCTTCTATTTATTCTTCTCTCTCTTCTTTGCTCTCTATCTCTTTGCAAGTGCTTTCATTTCTTTCGCAATTGGGTGGCATTGTCTTTCATTGTGAATTTGCACTTTGGGAATGACCAGGATCGTAA